CATTTCTTGTAGATGACGGGGACACAAGCTCGGTCGCGACGGTGTTCGCCACTGTGCGAACCTCATCTTCCTGAGCCGATTCCGGGGCCTTGTTTTGAAACGATCCTGCCTTGGATTCTGTAGGCGACATATTCAACCGTTCTGATCGGCTTGGTTTGAGCTTGAGACGTCCTTGCTCTAGGGCACGAAGAAGGGTACCGACTTCTTCGGACACGATGCCTCGAAGCTTGCTCATTGCGTCATCAGACACGTCCGAATGGACATTCCAGCCCAGTTTGTCGGATTCATCCGAGACCAGCGACTTCGACTCCAGTGAGGGCCCGGTGATGAGCCTGTGTAGAGTGGTGGGGGAGACGTTGTTGGGTCGGCGTGCCATCTTGACCGGTTTCTGCTTGGAACTTGAGGAGACTGAAGCCAAATCCTCCTGCTGGCGCTCCCGCTTCGGGGGACGGGGAATATGAGCCGCATTCGGCCCTTCACCGACTTCATTTCGAATCTTGTAGTAGACAAGACCCAAAGTTGCGGCGAGTGCTTGGTGTGCGGATTCTGGGTACTGACGAACAGCCTCGGCGCGGGTCAGGTTTGATGGATATTCACTGGATTCACTAGAATCGCTGTCGCTGCCATACAAGTCCGATTGGTGCATGCGGCCCCAGTACTCAAAACCTCCCAGTTGATAGAATTCGGCGAGTTGAACAAGTCGGTTAACTGTGGATTATGTTAGGTAATGTAAGACTCATCTCGAGTACAAATGACTCACTCCTACTGCGCTTCTTCAAGCACCAGAATCTCCAGACTGTACGAGGGAAGTATTCGGGCCACTGAAGAGATCCATCTTCTTCGATAACCGGGACAGGCGTGATAGGGGCATGCGTGGTGTGAGCAAGAGAGTTGAATCGAACCCGTTCCGAGTGCTTCATGCGAGCCTCAATTAGGGTAAACCGATTAAACACCGCGTTCAGGTGGCGCGACGTCTCGTGTTGAAGAGTAATCAAATCGGTACGTAGTTGACTGATAGCAGCATGCAGTTTGCTGATTTCAATGCGGCATCCACAAACATCGGTCTGCAGCTGTTCCAAGTCGGCCTGGACCTGATCAACATTCTTCTGGAGACGGTCGACATCACTCCGCAAAAAGACCGTCTCGTTGCTGGCCTGGCCGATGCTAGATTTGAGTTGAAACACGCCCGACTTGAGCTGGTCAACATCCGTCCTCAACGCAACCACGTTCAGATCAATTCGATTCGATATCGAGCGATTGGCTTCGAATTCTCGACGGATATGCTCGTCTTCACGGTTCCGTCGATCAATATAACCATCCTTGGTGAGAACTGTCGAGCGTAGCTCGAGTACTCGTGAATCTAGGAGGTTTAAACGGTCGTGGATTTGGGACAAGGAGGGCTCAGAGAGAATAGGAGGCGTCACATCGTGTCTGACTGAAAGTAGAGGACTGGATATGGGTATTGACATGCTCGATGTACGGGAAAGACTTCGTTCAAGAGTGGCAGTCATGATGATAGTGAAGATGATGACGGTCGGTAGAAGGATTATAATGGATGACTGTGTAAAAATACGGTGTAAGTTCGAATTCTGCGTCAATATTGTATCATCTGCATGTGCAGATCGATTTATATGCGAGATATATCCATTTTGACGATATTTCGATGATGGTAATGATGGCTGAGTCGTAGATGATGATGGATGGTGATGTGATGGAAGGACGAAAGGGCTGAGTGAGGAAGTTGGGCGACTCCCTTTCTCCTTCCGGCTGACGCCCCCCCCTCCTTTCATTTTCTTCGATCGCTTGTTGCGTGGCACAAGCACATACGGCAACTCCTCGCCAACACCGGATCGCCGGACAGCGACCATCAAGACTCGCCATCTCTAACAGTTGGATTTTGACTGCTGACAATTGATATTTTCTCTCAAATAATTCTATTCATAACTTTATCTAGCTTGACAGTCAAGGATCGTTTATGAAGTTTCACAACCCTCATCTATCCAAGATTCGATGCAGGAGGAAGCGACGGAATTGAAATTGTTAGTAATTACAGGATTTATGACAATACCGTTTTAGGACAGCCTAACGCCTTGGCCCCTCCCTTGCGTCCAGCTGACTCCGTAGAAGCCAATCATAACTGATGTGCCGCTGCCGCCCCAAAGGTAAACGACCGTCAATTGGACAGCATAAATATCTGCTCGGCGTGTCTCTGCCTTATTTGAGGAACCGTCTCGGTATTACTGATACAAACATTACGCCTTATCCTAGGTACAAGGGTACAAGGGACTGGAACATCAGCAATGCCCACATTCAGGTCAACCCAACAATGGCTGTGTGTACATGGTGCAATCAAGATTGACAACCCATTCGCTTCTCATAACTCATTGCTCATGACTCAAATTAGGATCATAATAGATGAGTCAACCCATATATGAACCTTTTCCATGTTGACCAGCTGGCGGTACTGGCCAGTTGACAGCAGGTTTACTGTTTACGCTGGAGATGTTCAACATCAAGCATCATGGTAAACATGAATGCTAACGATGACACACTCATGACACATGCAATGAAGAAACGTATGCCCTCATAAATTCACCGGCCTCGATTGGGCTGGAATTGTGTGTGCAAACGGTCCCGGGTCCGAAAATGGTTCCTGGGGGCACATTTTCCCATACAAAGTGGGCCAGTCCACCAAGTTCTCAATCAAAGTAACACAGAAACACAACTGTGAAGGAAAATCCAACGCTAGACGATAGAATTTGATACTTGCTATGACTTCTCGTCAATTCTGAGATTGGGGGAGTAGGTAGTGTTGTTCGAAACCAGCAAGAGACGCGCCTGCCTCTCTTGATATATACTTCAAGATGCTTCCTCGCGATTGCTCAAGTAACGGAATGCGAGAAACCTACTACATCTTCGTCGGTGCCATCCTAAGGGAGCTGTTATTACTTTTGTTATCTATTATTCTCACGTCGACCTACACTTCGCACGTGTTTGAAAATGATGTTGTTCCTTTTCTCTCTTCTACCCTCGCTCTTCGCCGCAACAGCCCTCTGCTATCCTGCCTCAAGTAACAGCAGTATTGCGTCTCCTAGACTCCCCGTCGACTTCTACAAGCGTCAGTGTGACTGCTATGTTGTCTCCGGATCAGAAACGGTATACTTTGAGAACTACGCCTTCTGGGACTTCCGAAAGATCCCTTTGCCTCGTTACGATAGCAATGGCAGCAAAGGCCGTGCCAACAGGAGAGGCTATATCTTGTCCAGAGCCGATGGAATTGACAACAATCAAGGCGATAACGAGGAAGAGAACGTCGGCATGGAAAAGAACGTCGACAATGAAGAGAACGTTGACGATGAAGAGAACGTTGACGACGAAGAGAATGTTGACGATGAAGAGAACGCCGACGATGAAGAGAACGATGACGATGGTATGAAAGCAGCCGGCAAAGAACTTGACTTGGGTACTCTCCTCTTCTCAGAGACTGCATTCGCAAGGGACTGGAAACCCCAGAAGTGGCACCGCAAAAGCGACAAATATGGACCTGTCCCTATCATTAATTCACCAGAAAACATATTTTTCGCGAGCAACACCCTATATACAAATGATTCCGAGGCAACCCACCTCGTGCTGCGCACGACACGGTTCCCTAACCACACGGCGACAGCCGAACTCGAACATCACCTTCGCAACATCTTCCACTGCTCCCTACGAGTTCGAATGCGCATCATGACAGTGGGCTCCGTGAACAGAGAACCAATGCTGTATGGCCGCCCAGTGCCGAAAGGAAACACTACAAATCAATTAACGGTAGCCGGAGGTGCATGTGCGGGTATCTTCACCTATCGTTCATCGACCTGCGAGTCCGACATCGAGATCCTGACTTCAGATCCACCCAATATGGTTCGGTACGCTAATCAACCCGACTACGACCCCATAACGGATGCCATGATTCCGGGGGCGGCCTCAGTCGGCACCCTTTCCCAGCCATGGACGAACCCAACCACGCACCGCGTCGACTGGCTGCACAATATCACCAAATGGTACGCCGATGGCGAGATCAAAGCCTCCAATACCTATCATGTCCCAGATCAACCGAGCATGATGGCAATTAATCTCTGGAGTAATGGGGGCGAGTGGACAGGCGACATGCCCGTGGGACAAAGCGTGTACATAGGAATTGAGTGGATCGAGGTGGCCTACAACACGTCAACAAAGGTTAACGGCGCACCGAGCGATACAGTACCCTTTCCGAGCCACAAACATAGACCTTTTGCGCGCTCCGCAGCGGTAGGGCCTGAATCAGACCATGAGAGGTCGGCAGAGGAAGTTGAGTTCATCCAAAGGAAGGAGGGGGCGAGGCAATGCTTGAGGCCATGCTTCTTAGACGATGTTCGCGGTCAGTGATGACTCTGTCAATTACAATAGTCTTAATTCTTATGTAACATTTGTAATGTCTCTCGTCAGCCCTAAGACCCGCGGCGCCCTATATGAATCTACATTCGCGTAGGTGACTGCATGTCTAAATACTTAATGATTCCTGCCTCTCTATGTGAAACATGAAGAATGCTTGACAATTGGTAAATTCACTTTCATACAGAGCTATCCTGTACAACAAACACAAACAAGCGGCCGCTGAGTCGCTGAAGAACAAGCTCTCAGAAACCATAATGCATGCTCAAGTCAGGAGCCGAAGCTTCGACCGACGGGGTATCAGAAGCCGAAAAAGCACACATGCGCCAAACCTCAAGAATCCTAAACGCCATGCTGGTATCTCCAAATCGTACAATGCAAGCCATTCCATCGTTCCATCATCCTGTCCCAAGCGCCCCGAAACATGCAACGAATATTGGAGGGAGGCGGCCCGGCCGGTCCGTAATCATACATCATGCACGAAGTGCTTCTTCTCCTTTCTTTCTCCCCTTGAATGACAACGCCGGAGCCCAAAGCAAAGCACAAATACTCATACAGAAAGAAAAAAGAGGAAAAATATTTGCTGCTTAGAGCAGCGGCTCTTCACCCCCGCTGGTGGGATCGAAATCCCCCTCCAGCCCTCCATTCATCAGCTCGGCCACTATCTTACGGCGCAGGACGACAATGTCCTTAGCACCGTAAGATAGTGGTTCGAGACCGATGGCCACCGCCTTCGCGGTCGACAAGAGGAAGACGCCGCAGTCGCTCCCATTATCCTGTTGAGGGGAGATGGACGGGAGTACTGTCCACTCCTCCTCAACATAACGGGAGGCGAGCTCGGCCCGGAGCCAGCCCTGCACCAACCCCACGTGGCGCCGGGAGAGAGAACCAAGGGAATCGAAATGCTCGATGGTTCTCTCTCCCGGCCTGACGACGATCAATGTCCAATGGGCACTGTTGTGCACGGGGATGAACACAGTATCGACGTTCAGTAAAGCCTCTCCCCCGATTTTGGCCCGTGTTGCCCAGCGACGTACCGACTGGTAGCCTTTGTCGCGCAGATTTGAGAAGAAGAACGTGTTAAACGCGTGGAATCGGGGCTTGTCATGACGCCCTGCGTTTCCGTGAGAACGACGCAAGTAGTCGACGATTAGAGCAAGATATGAGTTGATGATTTCGTCGTTCAGCCATGCCATTGGAGTGTAGCAGGTGGCAAGATCTCTCTTGGTCAGAGGATCACCGGAGAGGGTAGTGGCGATCTTGCGATTGTTTGGCATGGACTTGATCTCCGAAATCTTCATCTCCCATTTTGGAGGGAGAGGTCGTACAGCAGGGCCTTCTGGTTTGACTCGGGTAGGCTTTTGCTTCGCTTTTTGTTCTTCTTCGATCTTTCTCCATTCAGCCGCGTAAATAGACTCTGTGCGACCTGGTGGAAGTGGCTTCTTAACTGCATAGAAAAGCCTAACTGCGGAAACGGGTCGCCCAAATGGAAACTCGGTACGAAGCCAGTCATCATGTCTGGCTCGAAGTTCGTCGTCACGCGCAGAAAGTTCCACTTTCTTGGCAGCATCGGTAGCTGGGGGCACATTCTCTTTCTCTTCAACAATTTGTTGTTCTGTCCGTTGGGCAACACGGTCGACTTTAGGGGAGGGTGGGGTGAGGTGAGGGGCAAGCTCCGTTAGGAGGGCTGGAGGTGTAGTGGTAGGAGTTTCGGTCAAAGGCTCTTGGAACCGGACGCGCTTCAGTTTTGCCTTTGGTTCAATAGTAGCTTGAGGCCGAATAAGTGTAGAGCGTCTCGATCCAATGTGACTGATGCTGTATGCCTTGGCAGATGGTTGCAGAGGCTGAACTGCATCATGTTCGGTTGTTTCAACTGCATGGGCCAGAGCGCGCTCACGGCGAGTGTTTCTCCAACGACTGAGTCGGGTGCCCGCGAGCAGGCGTCGTTTGAGCCGCGGACTGAGCGACTCAACACGGGCTCGCTTTTCCTTTCCATGTTTCTCTTGTTCCTTGAGCGAAACGGCACGAGGTCCCGATGTTCCGATACGCTTTCGAGGCTGTCGCGGGGTTCCAGTGGGCTTCTTTGGTACGGAAGGACCGCGAACGGCCGCCATTGATTCGGTCTGAGAAGCAGTACCAGCTGGGTAGAGCGGAATATCGAGAGACAGTTCTGGAAATGGATAGTGTTCGACGGTAGGATATCCTCTTTCCTTCCGCCATTGATGACTCTTGAGTTGCTGTCTTTGCTGCTCTGAAAAGTTGCGGAGGTTCGCTCGAGTCGGGGAAGTTGACAAAGCAGCAGCGGTTCGACGAGATAAAACGGCGCTTGGTTTGAAGAGGCGTGTGACAGTTGACCAAGCATAACTGAAAGCCTTTCTGACTACACGGCCCACAGTACTATTACGTGCGTTGTACAATGTCTCCTGCCACGACCGGGGAATCTGCTGACCGTCTTGGTGTTCCGGAGAAGGAATGGCCGAATCGTGGAAGGCGGTTGGAATGGGAAGAGGTGTGACTTGAAGTGAGTCGTTACAGCCTTTGCGGACATTAGCAATCGGATCGACGTGAAACTCTTCAGGCCAACTGCCCGGAATACGCATGGGACCATGGGGGAAGCCATCATGCCACTGAGGCATGACACCGCGGACTTCAAAAGGACGGATGGGACCTTCAATGGGCTTGGGACCACGGGGGCACGAAGAAGGAGAAAGGCGCGAATGAGCGGGGAAATTACCTCCGGCACGTTGCGTGGTAGCCTCTGATATATTCGCCTCACTTTCAGAGGCGAGGCCTTGAACTCTGGATTCGGAAATGAGAGTCTCTATCGCTTTGTGCTTGGGAGAAGAGATAACGGAGGAGTTGGCATTTCCAGTATGAATAGGCAAGTTGCCTTCGCTATTGTCCGTAGCTGTAGGTGCAGAATCGGCCTTGCCGCAGGCTTCTCCAGTTTGCGAGCCGGCAGCCATAGCCGGGGCGGTTCCGTCAGGCAGGACAGGAGACGAGCGGGAACCCCTTTGGTCCACACGACGGTATTTGGCGGAAGGGGTAACAGTGATGTTGTTGGAGTCGTCGAGGACTTCCTGAGTCGGGTTACTCGTAGCACCTTCGTCAATAGATCTCTTACGAGGGAGAGACGAGAATCCAGACAGTAGAGACGCAGAGCGGTCGGACTTAGGAGCTTGACCTTGAGAGGACATGTTAACTCTCTGAAAGTTGGTCCATGCAAGACCACGATTAGCGACAGAAGGGACCCCACCGGTCAAAAGACTGGTACCATTTACAACTCCGTTATTCCAAAAGGGATGCGTAGTGTGATTGAGACCGACGAAGGTAGAACCGTTTCGCGCCGCAAAAGATGTTTGTTTGGTTCTGTTGACGGACGGCTTTGCGATTGCGATCGGATTGGACTTCATGCGATTTGCAGCTCTAGACTTCTGGGAGAATGCAAAGCGAGGTCTGACGAAGGGGGAGCCAAACAGAGGACCCCAGGGATACGGGTCATCAATTGTAGCAACATAGCGGGGTACGGAATTGGCAAACGAAGGTCCGAGACGAGAGTAAGACTGAACATGATTCTGCGGAGGCTGAGCGTCGGTCTCTGGCTGCTGAGCAGGAGAGGACTTGATAGGACTCGTGTCCATAGGATCGAGTAAGGTGTTATCGATTTCTGACTGCGCGTGATCAGTAGGGAGCATACGCGCGTCTCTCGCGATCTCGTCGACCTTCTCTAGCTGCTGAGTCGCGAAGACACCAGCCATTTTGGCTTCGGAAGTGAGATCTGATTGCAAGTTGATATGGCTGTCCGGAGGTAAAACTGTGGATGAAGAAGCTGGTGAGGAACGCATAAAAAGTAAATATGCTGCAATGAAGAGGAGAGAGAGGATGAAGAGAGAGAGAAGGAAGGGAAGGTGTGTGAAGAGGTGGGTTGAGTCAAAACATAGAGGTGGACATTCACTGACTATGCGCACCTCCCAGTGTTTTGTTAACAGCTCAAAGTGTTGCCATGGCGAAGAACACATCAGTGTGCAACTTTACAGGAAGCATTAATAGAAGCAAATCTGCGGCAAGCACTGAGTATGATCTCTCACTAGGGACCAGACAGTACCACAGGAAAGGGATTGATAAGGAACTCAGATCTATCGCCGATGCGGAAGCTCTCAGGAAGCTTTGTCGCGGCGCGAAGAGTCACATGATGCGCTCTACGTCAGAAAAAGCGCTAGGCCGAACGTGGAAATGTCCAATCCTGCAGATCAGGTACAAGCAATAAATCTAGAAACTCCTACGAGTAGTCGATCATAGCTTGATACCGGTTACATGTAGACAGGGTGTCAATCACTAACTGGGAATCGGGCACAGTTTATGACCTTGGCCAAGTATTGCATGTACACGGGGGGTTATTCTACAAATCACTTACACTTTGCTTCAACCAGCCGAGAAGGAGATCGCAGAGGAAAGCGAAAGACGATGAGGGTGGGAAGGAAGAGAATTGATATGAAATTGAGGAACAATATATTGATGTAGATGGCCATGTTCTTGTGATTTCTACAACCCAAGGCCTACTTTGTCGAAGACTATAGGCGCACCTTCTATCGTTACCCAAGCGATACCTGACATAGGGCAAATCGTAAGCAAAACCATCGTCGCAGCTATTTGACAGCACGACTCACCTGAATATACAACCAATTTAGTCACCACTTCGACATCATATCGGACACGAGGTTTCTTCACTTGCGAAAAGACCTCCGTAAAATCGGGTTCCTTTTCCTCTTCGTAAGCAGGGAAGGGTTCGGTTGAAGTATCTCGGTCTATGTCTGTTATGGTTCCAGGGCTGTTGCGTGAGATGCCAGTACCCATCATATGTTCATACTCGTCCAATTTGGACTGCTTTCGTGCCGATTTGGACGGCTGCGTCCCAGACATGGAGACATTTGCAGTGTCGCCGTCGTCTTCGGCAAATGAGTAATTGTGAGCGGTATTTGACAAACTTTCGCGCCTGCGCTTCTCGCGATATGCCATAGTCTCGTAGGCATCGGCCTCGGATTGAGGACCAATAGATATGGCTCGGCGGCGCGGATGGCGGATATTGGTGAGAATCGACGGAATATCCGCAAACGACGGAAGGACGTCATGGTCCTTCAGGTAAGCTGGAACGGTTTTATACTGCCTGTCTAATTGTCAACCAATTTATCCCTCATTCTTCGAAGTGGTGGGTGAAGACTTACGAAGCTCTGGTGAAGAATCGCCGAGGAAGCAGGAGACCCAACTTCTCCAACGCTCGAAAGATTGGAGGTAGGGTACGTAGGAGAAGAGGTTTCATGACCTCTCTCCAAGTGAAAATCAATAGGACACCCAGGACAAAGCGCAGGGCTGTCTTTACCAGGCCCAAATCTTTGTACCGGAACGGTATCGTAGCTGGGGAAGGCTCGGACCAAGCGATGCTAGACTTCGCGAAATGCCAGCAGGCCAGTTGCACTCCAATTATTACCCCTGCAAAGGCCACACTGTCGTCGAAACACGGACAATCGTCTGCTGGTTCGGGGTGAATGCGCACGAGGATGATTATCACTAGGACCACCAGCACGATTTGTTTCCCTGACGCTGAAAACACGTAGTCATCGAGAAGAGGCCCGTATAAATTTTGCACGAGCGTTATCAAAGCTCCGAGCAAGCAACCGATAATGACATCGAGAAACCCATGCATTCCACAGTAAAGGCGACCTAGTACAATGGAGGTGACGTAGAGATATGTCATGCATTGAAAGATCAAATTAATGTGGCTGCTCAGAGTCGAATCGGGCGAATTGAGCAGGGTGAGCACGTAGATGGCGACAGAGACGGCATTTGTCGAATGCGTTGAAGGGAACCCATACTCTAGCGCGGCTGAACCAGACATAGTAATGCGCTGCAGCGGAGGTGATAACGGGCGGGGAAGACATAGCAAGTCCTTGATGAATCCGCTGAAGAAGACCCCAGAGGCCAATACCTGCACAAATCTGAGCGGCGCAAGTAGTTAGCCGACATGGTTCCATTCCAAGCGATGAGCTGTTCTCGTTCTCGACGGCTCAAGAGCTTCCACCCCTCCCAGAGCACCTACCCACGGCCTAAATTCGTATAACCGCTCCAAAACAACATTGGCAAAAAGATCATGAAAAAGGTATGCGTTCCCAGGTTGGCGGTGAATGCGAAATACGAATCGAGGGTCGGAGTACGAATCTTCTCTTGAAACCAAGCCAGATAGGGTGTCTCATAGCGGACCAGAGGAAGTAGTTTCTGTCGAGGCACATAGCGCCATTGCGGCAGTCGATTCCGGTCTACCCAGCAATAGAGGAAAGGAGAATAGGTAAGCGAAGACTCGAAACAAGTAGTGTACTTCATTCCGAAAGGGAAACGTCACACACGTACAGTGATCTAGGCTCCGGAGCCCGGCATCTGGATTGCCATTTGCGCCCTTAACCATACTGAAGGCGGCCGATTCGAACAAGTGGTGTAATAGCAGTTCTCCCCATAGAGTGCCAGCCAGGTACGACGTCTCAACACACGCGCGAAATTATGATATTGACATCGCAATGGCGGATGAAGAAGAGGTGACTGAGCGATATGTCCGCTTGCACTTGAATTTTATGCTTTTTTCAGGGGACTTGGCCACTTCGGCGCTGACAGAACAGCAGATCAACGTGGGCGGGCCCACGATAATTTGTCCCGCGGCATAAGAGAGATTAGCGCTTGGCAGTCCAAGCGTCGCGATAACGATTGTGCGTTGGCCCCTTAGTCAGGAGCACGTGAGGAGTGGTACGAATACGAATCGATAATAGCAGCAACATAATCTATCTGCGCATTTGCAGCAATAATACCTTTTCTGCACCAGGCAGAAATATTAGAAGACAAGTTTGGTCGTCATATTAGAGGCAGTTTAGTGATGGCTACTTGGAGAAAGGTGACCAATGGCAACATCAAGCGCAGAGATATATTTTGGAGTARGCACCTTTGGACTCGGCCAGTCTTGACTCTTGAGGCCTATCTATTAGATCCAGCCTGGACAGTCAAATCGTCCAAGCTGAATCATCTGCACACATGGGCAGACTAGCACAAATCGTCCATTGGTCTGACTCTCCATGCTTTATGTCTGAGATTCGAGGTTCCCGACGCCTGGAATCACATGCAGGGAATGTTGCTTGCGCGCACTCTGAATACCTTATTAGCTGCAGACAAGTCTAGATCACCCTCAGCGCAGGAAGCAGGAAAGTCGCTCATTCAAAGCCAGGATATTGGGACTGGAGGTCTTCATATCCGAGGTAGCAAAGTCTGTTGTTGTATCCCTCTGTTTGGACGATTAAGCCGACACGTATTATTCATGACGAAAGTGGGTGAGAAAGCCTGGCAGGCGCTGACATAAAGGAGCATTAGCCGAGGGTATAGAGAGGTACCTCTCTAGGATTACAGGAAGTTGTAGTTACGTGCTGGGGTCCAATTCCAGTTACTGAGAAACCACAAGCCAGGATCAGCTTTCCGATCAGGGCGGCTCAATGGACCGCACCTCCAGTTCAGCCTGGCCAACGACAAGACAACGAAATATGGACCAGATCAACGGGCGGATCTTGTTTATTTATCGCTGGTACTCTAAAAATAAGACGAGAACTGAGAGCGTGCATGAATGAGGATTCTGGAACCAAAGAGTATGGTGCTAGGCTTGAGTGGCAGCGGAGTTTCGTGCGTCATTCCAGCCATGCGCGGTTGCCATGGCAGCCTTCCAGCCCGTAAACACCGCATTTTGAAGGCTGCAGTTTCATGTCACCTGCACTCGTTGTTGGAGCAGCAGCCATGCTCTACTCAATTGGGAGAAACGGATCTTACGAAGTGGCATCCCTTTCATCCTTCAATTGTTCCATATTTCAACCGCCCCTTATCCTCTAAACATCCACCGAGAGCATCAATTTACCATCTGTTTGTTCGAACCGCACGGCACCATCGGTTACCTGCGAGTCACCGGCGACTGGAAAGACGATAAACTCCGTTCTGCTTTTGATACGTCAGCTGGACCGTTACAGCAGCACCCCGTACATCAGAGAGATTTCTCCCTTTCTGGGTCGCTGGGTACCTCGTGCCAAATTTATTCTCCTAGATTCATGGACATGTCAGGACACATGTATGAAGATAGTGGCTACGCAGCGTCTCGACGCCGGTCGCTTGCAACTCCACCACCCTCCATGACTCCAAGACACAATCGGACCCGTAGCCAAAGTGTGAGGGTGAGTAATGGAACCGTCAGCACAAATACCAGCGTCTCAAGTGGAAGGATGTCGGAAGCCACAAACATCACTCAACCGCCAGCGTATTCAAAAAAGTTTGTGGTGGTGGGAGACGGTGGTTGCGGTAAGACATGTCTTCTCATCAGTTATTCACAAGGGTATTTCCCAGAGGTAAGTGTTTTATCCTTGAACGTCGGATTTGATGAGACTCATCTCTCACTGCTCTAACTTCTGCCTTTCAGAAATATGTTCCTACCGTGTTTGAGAATTATATCACGCAAACCACCCACCGAGCTTCTGGAAAGACAGTCGAACTGGCTCTCTGGGATACTGCTGGACAGGAAGAGTACGACAGACTGCGGCCCCTCTCATATCCCGAAACAGATCTTTTGTTCGTCTGCTTTGCCATCGATTGTCCTGCATCGCTAGAGAATGTCATGGACAAGGTATTTTACTCACCTCCCGTCTTCCTGCAACATCTGACCAACATGAACAGTGGTATCCCGAAGTAC